GTCTTGTCTCTCCTTGTGCTCGGGTGGGACACACGCGCCTGTTCACGTCCATTTGCCTGTTCACACGCTTGTGCCAGTTCACGCGGACGCGGGGCGGTGTTAAATGTGTACGGGCGGCTGTTGACATCCTTGTGGCAGTGCACCGAGGGGGATTGTGCTAGCCACTGTCACACACGGTTTCGACATGACCCTACTGCTGCTGCTGTGTGATTTTGTCGTTTTTTTTGTTTTTCAGGAGGAAATTCTTGTCCGGGAGCACGGTATTCATAAGAATAAATGGGCGCAGATCGCCAAGTCTCTCCCGGGGCGCTGCTCTAACGACATCAAGAACCATTGGTGAGGATCAGAGAGGGTTAGGGAGAGAGAGCGAGATATGAAAAAAAGAGATTTGAGAGACAGAGATGTAGCGGGATGTGGGCAGAGAGAGCGAGAAGCTGACAGTGAGAGAGAGGCAAAGAGCGAGATAAAGAAGAGAGAGTGAGAGGGACAAGAGGGAGTGGGAGAGTCAGCGCGTGCGGGAGCAGGACTCGCTGGGTGTGTCAAGTTTTCCTAGAACCGAGGTGGACCGCTGTTTTTTCGCCGTGGCCCACGCAAGTACGTCCCTTGCGCCAAAATTTTGAATTGCTCGTCGCAACCAGTCGAGTGGCATGCACACAGCGCGGCTTGATAGCATCGACAAAGGGAACAAAGAAGACTGCCGTGGCCGGTCTGCCGCTACGATTCTAGCCGACTGCTACTCCCGCCCTCTCCCCCCAACCCGTGCATGTATTTTCTCAACATCGGTTCTTCGGTACAGGTACGCGCACGAGCGACGGCAGAGAGAGATCTCGCGAGCTTCCGCGTCGTCGACGGCGGCGGCGGCGACGGAGACCCCGCCCATCGTCGTGCAACGCACAGCAAGGCCTTTCCCCATGTCCGCGAACCCTTATCTGGCCAGAATACTTCCTGCTCCCCCCCCTCCGGTCTTGGTCTCGGCGCCCTTGGCCGCCTCCCCCGTTGCTTCCCCCCCAGCCCCCGCTTCTGCAGCCCCGGCCCTTGCTGCCGCTCCTCCTGCTCTTGCCCCGGCCCCCGCCGATATCCCGCCGCTCATTGAGCAGCGGCAAGTTCTGTCGGAGTCGGAGGATGGCGGGGAGCATCACCACAGCGGCGGTGTCGGCGGGGTGCTGCTGGAGCGGCCGCAGGAGCCGCCGACTTCGGCGGCGCCGGGGGGCCCGGGAGACTGTCATTTCCTTGGGGGGGGGGTCGTCGACGGCGGCGGCGCCCCCGAGCAGCACGAGGAGTCCGTTGAGGTGGAAGACAGACACGGAGACGGTAGCATCGATGATGGCTTGCTCCTCCAACAGCCGGCGGGGGACTACGACCCCACTCACGTCGCCGGGAGCGGCGGCGACGGGGGCCACGGCGGTGGCAGCGGCGGTGGTGCAGATGGCGGTATTGACGACCACGATCACGGCGACATGATGATGATGATAATGGCTTCGCATGCCATGCCGCTGCCGCCGCCACCAGCCCCTGCGGCGGCACCAGCGCCTGCCCCGGGAACGGATGCCGGGGGGGTTATGGTGGGCCCTGTGGCGACGGCGGAGGAAGAAGTTGATCCAGGGCAGGACTTCGGATTGCCGCTGGCCAAACGCGCTCGGATTGACGGCGGCGATGACGGCGGCGGCGGTGGTGGTGGTGGCGGCGACCCGGGTGGAGAGGGTCATCATATGCTGATTGATGGCAGCGGCGTCGGCAGTGCAGGTGTGGGTGATGTAGAAGACGAGAACACCGTTGCTGATAGCTTCGTGGGGAGCGGGTTCGGCAGCGATGAGCATCCGGCCGTGGATGCCGGCGGTGGTGGCGGCGGTGGGGATGGCGACCGAATTGATGACGACGTGGTTGGAGCCGGCAGCGGTGTGATGGACCACTTCAGCGCGACAGAAATTGGCGGCGGCGGCGGCGGCGGCGAAGACGGCGGCGGCCTGGAAAGGTTCGAACAAGCCGGGACCATCGGTGACGGCGACCTGGAGAGGTTTGAGGGGGCGGAGGCAACGGGGGACGTCGACAACGGTGGTGGCAGTCTCTCCGCTGTGGCCCGCCTTGAAGAACACCACCGGCACCACGCTGGCATCGGTTCTGATGGTGAAGGTGGCCACGACGGTGTTGACGGAGGCGACGCAGATTGCGTGTTCCCTGGGTGGGACAGACTCAGGAGCGAAGACCCAAAGATGCACTGAGTCCTGCAGCATTACCTATATTTTTTTTACCGTTAACCTTGGCCCACCACGTTGAACGTTTCGTCATATTTGTTCGTTGTGTGTGCGCGATTTTGGTACTGCTAGCGTGTATCAGCTTGTTCTGTCTTGGCTAAGGTGTACAGAGTAGTTGTCTTGTATTGGTCTTCCGTCCGCGGTTTGAGTGTGACTGCGGATCGATGTTTGAACTGAACGATTGGCACGAGGTGATGGGGTAGACATGGATCGGTGGATCAATGGTTCTGGTGTGTGCGTTTTGCGCGTCCGCGTGCAATAGCACGAGGTTTTGAGTGATTTCGATGTTGTGAATTTCCGGTACTACACATGCATGAGTGCCGCCCATTTGTATGCATCGTTGGGTGAAGTGGGGTGTCGTCGTTTTTTTCCGTGTCTGCGTTCGTGGGTGGCTCACTGTGGACGAATCGTGGTACCGTGCGACCTTCGACGGTTCACACAACATCAACATCTCGGCGTATTTCATGTCATGATTTGCTGCGAGTGTTGTCCTGGCGTAACGCCGGTTGATCCCTCTGTCTGAAAACTGCTCAACTGCCCCCACGGCGAGAGAGAACCGCGTTCATTTGTTTCATTTGTGCCTCGACGGCCTTACGTCCACAAAACGGGCGCTCAGGCCATGCGTCATATAAAGCTGGCCTCGGTCTACACATGACAGCAAGGGAAGGGCATCATGGATCAGAAGCTCGCGATGCTGTCTTCGTTGTGACATGATTTACCTTCTTTTACAGTCAACTCCGGTGCGTAGAAGAGGAAGGCCCGATCGGACAAATCGGGTCACCAGCACCGCAGAGATTGATTCTCTTAACAAAATATTATCCATGGATTGGGGTGGATTTGTTTTCATGGTTACTGATAAAAAAAAACTGCCCGTCAATTGTCCACCAGATGTGGTCCACCTCCCTCAACGAACGTTCGCCCCTCTGCATTTTGCCTCCTCTTGACCCAGAACGCCCCACGGGCGGACAGCCACACACAGCAGCCCCCGCTGTTTGCTTACTGAGAGAGAAAAACTGCGTGGACTACGGTATACTTGGGCTTGTGCTTTTCGGGTTGGGCCGTGCCGCAGCGCGCCGTCCTCCCGCAAGCATTGCCAAGTGCCCAAAACTCTCTTGCGGATGCCTCCGTGAGCGGTACAACCCCAAAACGAACGCACCCACGAAGAGACGGCGCTAATTCCTGCGACATCCCCAGCTTCACGGCGAAGATTCGTTCGATCTCGGTTGCGAAAGGCCGTCCCGCACCACCCAATAACCGCAATGCTCCACGTCCCACCGGGGACAATCCACCCAGAGCTACACGGCACACAGCTGGATCTGCCGGTACCTGATGTGATGACATTGTTCTCATCTAGTAACGCAGCGGGTTGTCACGAGCTAACCCTACCCCCTACCCTCACGGAGGGTTGGACAAGCGCGCGCGGGGGGGCTGGCGGAAACTAGACACGTTCACCTAGACACGTTCACCTCGTCCCACCCAGCTGTCGCCCAAGAAAATGGCACGGAGGTGCTTGGTGCCAGTTCAATCTTACATGAACCTGGAATCAAGACCGGGGGGGGGCATGAACAGGAACGCAGGAGGTTAGACCAGGCCGGAGGCATTATGTAGTCGGCCAGAACTTTCAACAGGGCGACGTTTGAGCCTTCATGACGGAGGTTGTATTCAAGGTTTTACGGGAGTGAGCCGCACTCTGGAATTCACTTCACCGAAGCCTCGGCTCACTCCCTAGCCCGCCGAAATTTCATGCACATCCGGATAGAGACGTGTTCCATTCACCGTGTATATTTTGGTCATAAAAAAGAGCAAGGCAGCAAAGACTGCACGCGCAGGGAAACAGACATTTTCGCGGGCCATTTTCATGCATATGGAAGTGAAGTTTACCGCCGAGATATCAAGGTGAACCTGCGACATTGAAATGATGATAGACCTTAATGAGGCAGCGAGCCGACACTGACAACAGCACCACTCACAAGTGAACTCCGTATCATGCCCGAAACATTTCTGGACCTTCTCTTTCCAGTTCTCTCGACACTTATTCTTACCAACTCACATTTCAGCCTCCCAGTAGACAGCTAACCCACTACAGCGGTGTGGGATCAGTGTTCAACTCAATCTTCCCCGGGACACCCTTGTTCTCCAAAATTCACTCCATAGTCATGCAACTCGTGCTCTCCGACTTTACCCTTTCACATCGTTTAAGCACGGGACACCTGCCTCTTGGGCGAACTCACTCCGCATGATTGTCATCTTTGGGTTGGATATCTGTTTCATCTGCTGCACCACCACTCCGCAATGATGAAGAGAATTGAGTGTCGATTCCCAGAATCGTGTGGGACACCTGCACCTCCAGCGCATTCACTCTGCAGGAATCCAGCACTGTTTTGATTGTCGTGTGGGACACGCGCCGTGATGAAGCAGTTTGAGCGCCGATTCTCAGGGTCGTATTGGGAGCCTGCATATCTCGTGCCCAATTCACTCTGCATTAATATACATCAGAGTGCTGCCCTGCGGCTGTTGTGCCAACTCACTCTGCGATTATGTACGCCTTGTAGATGGACATGAACTTGGCGACGAATGCCTCGAGGTGGAGGATCTCCTTGCTGCCCATGTGCAGCCGGTGCTCGTAGAAGGCCGCCCACTTGAACACCTCGCCCCACAGCTTACAGTCCAGGTTCTTGACCAGCTCTCGCGTCAACGTCTACAAATAACAGGGAGCGCGGCGCAGCGTGGGACAAGCATTGAATCCTCCTTGCGTGAACAACCGAAAGAAAAACACACTCCCCTTTCACGGGGTCTCAGATCAAAGCCTTTAGAAGCGCTTTCCGTTTCCAGCCACGTTGAAACTGACGCCTTTTCATTGGTCAGCCGTTACCTTTCAAAAACACGCCAAAGAAAATTCGAGCAGAAACGCGGCGGACAGCTCGATCGGGCCCAATTCTAGTACAAGCACTGCGGGGTGGCGCGTGAAGATGGAGTGGTTACGGACGGCACGGCTTTACCTTCCTCCATCTTAAGCAGCTATGGACTACTTTCCCACAACGACGGAACGCGCGGAACTGAAAATCTCCACCAAACGTCCCGTCTGATTAATGTTGTGTGAGATCGACACAAGCTCAGGCCGCGCTCTCAGTGCTTACACGTGACCCCTTCGGAGTGGGCTCATGAAGGCACAGCAGCGTCATCGAAAGGGGTGATGCGAGATGAAAATAGGAACAGGCAGCAGGACCAAACCGCAGCTGACTGCCAGCTGAGGTGTGACGTTTCCCAAGCTCAACAACTCAGACAGCAAACGTGTTCTCTCAAACAGCCCAACCAACCTCTACAAAAACATGACAAAAAAAACTACAAATCTTCATATGACACAATCTCATACTGCTGTATTTCTTTGTATCATTATTTCTTTTCACCTTGAGGATGACATCGGCCGGGATGCAGTTGGTCAGGAGCTCGTACAGCTTCTCCCTCGCCTCAAGCAGCCTGGTCAAGGAACGAAACAATCGAGATACAACACGCTTCACCATGAGCTAGCTATGTACAGCAGAACAGCGAAAACACAGCAGTAGTGCGATGTCGAAGCAGTGGTGTATTAACGACACGATGAACCCACCGCAGCAGACCAGCCCGCAGAAAAGCCGCAACTCTGCTCAGGTACACCCCCAATTTCTTGACTTACACATATCAAGGAAGAACACGCAAAACACCTTAGCCAAACATAAACCAGGAACGACAGCGCAGCATCGCCATCACCATGACTCGCCAGCAATCAAGAGCGCATCTGCGTCACCTGCGAGGACTTTGCTCCAAGACCACCTCCCTGGCCAGCTGTGTGATGTAGTTCTCCCAGTCCGTCATCTGTACCTCTTGGTCCTCCGAGAAAGGGTACCTAATCCGGACCAAAAAAAAAACAAAAAGGGGAAGAAAAAGGTCCAAATTTTGTTGCTGTTACTGTTGTCAAAATACAAACATTTCGGTCACCGCTCAGCACACACAACGGTCCGACCCACGCGGACGCCTTCGGTGGATGCAAGCCAGCTACCCCCAAAAAAGATGGCACACAGTTGGCAAAAAAACAAAACCATTACAAAGCAGATGCAGAAGAACAACAGCCACCTCAGCGCGGGGTATGCACGTGTGTATGTGTGAGTCGTGAAGAGTTAGGAGGAGCCGACGCATCCGCCAGCTGCACCTCTCCTTCGTTCGTCTTTGGGCGTACATTGGGGCCTCTTCCTCGGAAAGATCAGAAGAAAAAGATGCTCATGGGGCCGGTTTAGCCCCAAACAAAAAGAAAGAGCGACCGACGGGAGATGCATCCAGGAGACACCCTGCTAACTCTAACCCTAGGTGCACCGTGTTGACAACTACAACAAACTTTCGGGAAGGTGCACATCAAAGGTGAGGATATGTACACCACGTGTATCAATTGGCACATCCGGCGTAGGCGAGCAACTACTGGAGATCTGGATAGGGAGCGTATACTCACTCCCTCATTGTATTTGGGTCCGAGTGAATACAAGCGCCGGTGTGCGGGAAATCCTCAACAAAGCAGCTGTTTTCAGCGTCGACCTGCCCTTTACGTCGGATTAGAAAATGGTCACTGGCGACCGCCTGCGGCGTCGGTTCTTCCCACATTTTCGGCTTGGACGCTGCTGGGCGTAGCACAACTTCAACCACGGGAATGGAGGTGTGGCGCGGGCCCTCTGCTGGGTATTGCGGCTCTGTACTCGCGTATCAGCTGTCAGACACGGCGACATAGGTCGTTTCATGTTGTTGCGGTCGGCGCAGAAGTTGTCCTTGACTTCGAGAACGTTTTGGTCTCTATCAAGCCCACCAAAAGCCCATCCTGCTCCAGCCGACCAACGATACGAACTCCATTCTCAAAGCAGGCAGGACGACGGAGAACTCGTCGCATGCAGCAGCAAAATGCACAACAATAAAAAAAAATGGAAGACTTACTGCTGCACTCGACACGCCTCGATCATCAGCACCGCCCGTCTGAGGTTCCGCTTCGAAGCCTTGGCCACACGCGCGGCCAGTGCGGGCGGCAGGGTGAGGGACTCCTTTCGGCACACCGACGTAAGCACGCTGCAAACCTGACAAGACAAACACATAGACAGGCAGGCAGGCAAACACATAGCGGGGGAAGGTACATGTACAGTATGGAGGGGGGACCAAAAACCGTAACAAGAAGCTCTCGAGCTCGAAAAAAAAAAAAATCACGTAGAAGATGTCGATCGCGCTCGAAGACTGCACCACGATACTCAGGCCACCCAAGTCATCCAGGTCTACCGTATATGACACAAGATAACACACCCCCTGGACCGATTTTCCACTCTTAACTTCTTGCGCTCACCACGCCAAGTACCGCTCGCGCCTATTACGAAGGAACCTCGAGCCTCATTTCCCGGTTCGTAAGAAAAGGCCAAAAAACGTCCTCGACCCGCCCGGAAACGAACCCTATTTCTGCGGGGCTCCCGACAAGGATAACGCCCGTCTACTCCTCTACTCTGTCGATCACCAAGGGCAGCACAAAACACTGCCGACACAGCTGGCAAGCCAAAATACCTACAAAGTCAGCGATACATCGTTGGGCAACAGGCGCAAAAGAGTGGAAACCCTGCTGCACGCTGGCAACAAAACATTGTTGCGTACATAGTCTCGTTTCCGTTCCTTGCAGCGGACGGTGCTACCGTCGTTCGTGTGGACACTCTGAGGGAAGAGGGAGCTGCACCCTTCTCGCGATAAGAATCGTAGGCAAGCAGGCCGCGACGGATGGTAGGGAGAGGAACCTTTCCGTGTGACAACGGATTGGAGCTCCTACCCGCTAGAAATGCTGTGAGCTGCGAGCGCTGATTCAAAGTGAGTACGGCGTGGCTCTGATACAAGAGGGCACCTTACAAGAGGGGGGTCCGATATGAGGGGGTCGAAATCGGTTTTCACGGACTCGACCGGCCATAGTATACAGTTGGGTAGCCTCTTATTCCGGTATAGGAGGGTCAAGGGCCTTCGTCACACCACCCTCTAATATCTGAGGCACGACTGTGACAAAAAAACAAAACAGAACGGCAATTTTCTCAAAAAAAATTCTCCCCCTCACCCCCCCCTCTGCTCACCTCCGACTCAGAGGGTGCCGGGACCCGCACGCCGAGGCAACGGGATCGAACCGGCTCGATCACTTTGCTAGGGCTGTGGCACAGCAAGATTAGTCGACACGACGAAGTGTACCTGTAGTCATGAATCAGGAAAGTTCGGGGGAAGCAGATACAGGTGGGGTTTGTTGGGGGGGGAGAGAGGTGGGGCACCCGGAATGCGTAGGGGTTGGGTGGGGAGTTGAGGCGCGGGCAGAAAAAAAATGGCACGACGGTGGAGGCTACAGCACCGGTGCTACTCAGTAGCGCAGAACAGGAGGGCCCCATTCTTGGGCATCTCGAAGACCCCAAACGGAGCAAACGCGCTACATGTACGCCCAGGTAAGACAAAAGGTGGTGTGCGTGTTTACAGCAGGAACAGGCTCGGTCTGCTCACCTCTCCATCGTTCGCCTCAGCCCCGCCTGCGCCTGCTTCGTCAGCCGGTCAACTCCAACCAACACCACCACTGCATCCAAACGCCAGCAGCATCAGCAGCAGCATCAGCAGCAACAGCAGCATCAGCATCAGCATCAGCGCCAGCAGCAGCATCAGCAGCAGCATCAGCAGCAGCCAACGGTCAACAGCGGCAGACAGCCCAATACAGCCACAAAACCAAAGTCCAAACGAAGACAGAAGATTATCGTTTCATGAGGACCCTTGCCTTGCGTGTGCAACGGCACTTGCCGCAAACCACCGTCCATTACATGCTAGAAAGCACACCTGGTCGTTGAAGGAAATGAAACACTTTCTGTACTCCACGGAGATGACGATTTGCCTTACCCCTCCTCCTCCCTGAGCACCCACCGACTACAATGTGCGGCGGCTCTTGACGACAAAACATCGTTGTACACGCGGTCCAACTGCAAATGTTAAGCCCGGCCAAGATGTTCACCAACCACATGGCGTAGTTCGGACAAACCAGCTTCTGTTGCCCAACACATTCTTCCCTCTCTGCCTCTTTCTCTAAACTACTCTCTTTGACGCGGGGACAAAATGGGTTCTACTTACTGACCTTTGTGACCGATCTTCGATTTCTTGTCGTCGCTCCCACCCCCGCCCATACTCGCCGAGATCGATCGGCTCTGTGCGATCTCCTTGATGATGTCCTGTGTAAATTTGGGTGTGGGTTAGGGTCAGTGGATCATAGTCTGGGTGACTGCAAGCCCACGAAGAGAAGACAAAAGCCACAAAAAAAAAAAAACGCATGTCGTGGTTGTACTGTCGGCCAATATCTATTAAGGTTAGTGTGAATGCCACCTCAGACCGTCGTAGATTGTGACGTCAGATGACCTGTCGGAGATCTACCTTCGGGGTGTTACCACAGATAGAGTCAGTGCAGGTTGGATGCTGAACCTTGCTTCAACACAAGGTTGATCCCCACCTGCCTCACTCACACAGACTCGACTCAACGTTCCGTACATCAGCCTCTCCACCAGAGGTTGATCCGGTGTGTATCCACACCGCCCATCCCTAAGGGAACTTGCTCACACGCGAACCTGGAGACAACAGTCTCATAGTGGCGTCAGCGGCAGGATCACTATGAGACTGTTGTCGCCAGGTTCGCGTGTGAGCAAGTTCCCTTAGGGATGGGCGGTGTGGATACACACCGGATCAACCTCTGGTGGAGAGGCTGATGTACGGAACGTTGAGTCGAGTCTGTGTGAGTGAGGCAGGTGGGGATCAACCTTGTGTTGAAGCAAGGTTCAGCATCCAACCTGCACTGACTCTATCTGTGGTAACACCCCGAAGGTAGATCTCCGACAGGTCATCTGACGTCACAATCTACGACGGTCTGAGGTGGCATTCACATTAGGTTTCGTTTGGCCACCGAGAGACACGAACGAAGGGTCGACCGAACGGCGGAGAGGGCGAAGAACAACCCGGTTATTGTCGTACATGCATGCAACAACAAACAAGAAGCGCTTATCACACGGGCGGCAGGGGAACACCACCAACGTGGTCACAACAACATCAAACTGCACCATAGCGGTACGCACCTGCACCACGTAACGGTCGTAGATCCCCGCGTCCCCCGGCGACATCTCGATGTGATAGTTCGAGGCCACCGTCGTGAGCTCCACAACTCGGTTGCTGGGCGTCTTGAAGCTGCGGTGCTCCAGCCTCACCTGCTCAGCGCGGTTGGGGCGAGGATACGGCAAGCTCTTTTATTAATGTACTCGTCGTAAACAGCAGTGACGCAAACATGGATCGGAATACACAGCGCGCGTCGCGGCAGAGCAAACACGCACAGCCTGTTGCGGTCGAATTTTCGACCCCCAATTCTCCGTAACACACCACGTACGTCGCGGAAAAACAGGACGCACATGACACGCACAAACGCGCTATCGTAATGGATACTTGACGCACGTGGGGTATGTCTTCCCCGCCCCTTTCGCAAGGACGTTGACACTCAATGCTTCCACGATGCCCCGGCTGTACAAGCGTCATAGGTTGCAACGGAGTTACCGCTCGAAAAAGTAACAGGCACAGATATGCCTCTCTAGAACGCCGTGAAGCCAACATGGTTGTCGGAGTGCAACTATTGCTTCATGCTTGCCTCGCCCGTGTTACATTCCAGTCTGCATTCGGACAAGTCTCGTGTTCAAAACATAGTTGTCTCACCCTCTCTGCCCCCGGGCCGTAGATGCGCTTCAGGAGTGCCAACACCCGTGTCTTTTTCCCGGAACCGGCGGGTCCGTAGAACAGAAGGTGCGGGATTTCGCCGTCTTCCGACTGTCGTGAGGGGTCGATTCGAGGAGAGAAGGAAGGAGAGAGAAGGAAGGAAAGGGTAGGGGTGAGTAGGTGCAGGAGTTTTGGGGGGCGGGTCGGGCGGGAGTGAAAGGTGAAGCGTGCAGATCATGTGCATGTGCACCCTGTTTTTTTCTCGGTGCAGGTAGGGACTCGTACAACGAAACCTACAGAACATTGGGGAAAAAACACGTTTGAAAGACAAACCTAGTTGTGCCAAGAACTACCCGTCAACATAATCGAGATACTTCTCAAGTGCTGCGCAATAACTGCTGCATAAAATAAAACAGCGCATATGCACACACGAAGGGCTGTTCGGATTGCCGACTTCGCAACATTATTACACTTTGCAGAAGGGGCTTCGCAGACATATCAATTTTGAAAAATCCGTGCAATTTTCCATGTGTGTGCGGACGTACATGTAGACCTTGGTTAACAGAGGGTACGGAGATACACCGACCACATTGGTGACAAAACCGCCAAACACACAGGGTACTACCATGCCCCAACAAGCAGTAGTTGAAAAGCGGCACCGCCTCTCGTGGTCTCTCTTCGTCCAACAAGGCATGTCTCACGACGACAGCCACCGCGCGCGCAGAAAATTCAAATTTGAAATCAAGATCAGAGCCGCCGGCGTGCCAAACGCCGCACACACAATAGGCACGGTAGGCTTGCGAGTGGTACCATGGCACAACTTGGAGCGTAACCCGATTGTAAAAGACGCACTCAATGATCTCCAGTGCTACACAGCTGCTGCTGGCTGCAATAGTCTGCAGTCCCCGCACGGTTCAGCCTCTTGAGTCTGCATAGCTGCGCCGTTGAACACTCCCTCCCTGCATGCCTCCAGCGTGCGCCGCCCGATAACCCTGGCTCTTCTCTCAGCACCTAGGCAACGTGCAAACGTGCAAACACGCATGGCAACGTGATTTTCTTCCCTCCCCCCCCACCCCTGTATGCGCTTCTCCTATGTGGAGAGTGCAGCTACTCACCATAGCACCCAACCTCGTTGTTAGCTCTGGGTGAACATCGAGGCTGTCCAAGGACTTGGGTCGGTGCTTATCTACCCACAGCATGTTGGACGATGCGTAGCCCTTCCTCCTTCCCTACAGGACAAACTAGCTGCGAGGTGAGTTCACGGCGAAGGAGATGGATGTTACGCGCCCCCGCTGACGAAATGTTCCCCCTGCACCCAAGAGCACAGCAGGCTGGCTGGCTGCCCCGTTGCCCAAACAACAAAAACACGGCTCCGTACTCTACATCCCTTTGTACCGGGCTGTACCCTTTCGAAAGCGCGGAACCCCGTGGGTTGCTCCGCAGGTGGCTGGTGGTCACGTACCAAACCAACTACCCAACACACTCCTTCCGTACATTCCCAGGATAACATGCAGACAGTTGCACAAAACGGCTACCACGCTGTCTTGTTGACCCTGTTACCCACGGGGGAGACGTCGCTGTGTGCTGCTCGGAAAATCATGGAAACACAGGTAGCCTTCACAAACGCTATGGATTCATTGCTAATCTGCCTTGAACTCTTTTCTTAGAGATGGATTCGTTGTCATATTAAGAAAATATGAAAATATAGGAACGGTGCCGTTTATCTGGCGTGTATTTCCTTGCCGCACCGCAGCAGCCAGTGCCTTCCTAGAGCGCATATTTCGCACCATCCTAGAAGAGATAGCAAGGCATACAGTGCAACTCCAGAGACGCACACAAGTCCATCTTCGCTGTCTCTTTCTTCCTAGGGCGTCAGGCCGTATTATAGGTGCGGAGGTGAAGAAATTTTGTTGATTCGGGTGGGGCCAGTGCCGAAGGAGGGCAACGAGGATTGAGATTTAGCTTCCTCAAAAAAGACGTATGAGTAGACGCCAAAGGTGAATCGGGTGCAAGTATGTGTTTTTTCCATTCGCGGCCGACGAGTGCGGTTGAGGTTTCCCGAAATGGTTTGATTCGAGTGGGGCCAGTGCCACTGCGTTCTTGTCCACAAAATAATAGGCAGCTGTTGGCGCATATCTTTGGAAAATGGCAGCCCGGTATTCTGCATAATTTTGAATGGTTCGCGCGACGTGTGAGATGTGTAATACATTCATTACAGTACGTCTGAGGCTGGTGGAGTGAAAGGGTGCAACATGTTTCTTAACAACACTGTGCATCCGACAGGGTGGGAATGCCACGTGCCGCAAGCAAGACTGCTAACGCCGCCCAAGCAACAACTCTACTAGATTCAATCCGTTTGGTACTCTGTTGGCCCCGCAAAGGGTAAGTGCCACACCATGAAATGCAATATGCCTTGTGCCATACCGGCAATACTGAGGAATATGCAATCCCTCAAAAGTGCTGGTTTGGCACTATGAAGGGCCTATTCCCGATAGTGCCGGTGTCCGGTATAGTGCCGGCTTACGTTCTGGGCACAAACCGGCACTAAACTGGGCCCAGTACTGTGTAGACTTTGGCGGTGGCGGTAAAGCCGAAATACGGTGGTAAGACGGCTGTATACCGGGACCGCCCACCACGGCGGTACTTCACGGTGGGAATGATTGCAATACGGCCACAACTTCAACCGGTACCAAACAACGGCGCTCGAACAGACGGCAACCCTCTTTCCCGAAGATTGACCATGTACTTCCATGGTCTGTGTTGTCGTTTTCACCGGTGACTTTCACATTTCAGCGTCAACTCGACGTAATAACATAAACACAAAAAATTGATTCAAGCAAAAATCGAATACCAAACTCAACAACTAAGCTAAGAATTACGTCGCCTAAGCGGCACGATTCACACGATGGTATCTAATTGGCTGAGGTCTTAATCGACGTGTTTCCCATCTTTTCCTGTTCCTCCATGGATTTCTGAGCACTCTTGGATACAGCAGCGCGTTCTATCACTGCCTCCGCGCCCGAACCAGGCTGCTGCAAACGTAACGACTCATCACCGGCATTAACACTGGTGTTCTCCGCGTAGAGCTCATTTTTCTGCTGGACCGCGATGGGCGTGGATCAGGTGATGTGTGGTGTGTATGTGTCCCGCGCCCCATGCGCCCCTGTCTCCTTGTCCACTCAATATATAAAGAAGAGAACACGGTAAAATAAAAAAAACGTATGACATATGACGAAAAGAAACGGAAAAAATATAAAACACGCCCACGCCTCGGCTCGAACACCTGGCATGCACTTTGTACACTGGACGAGATAAAGCCTCTACCCACTCAGTTCAATGATCAGCGGTGATGTACCGATGCGGCGGTAATTTTTGGTGGTATTGCCATAGCGGTATGGCCATATGGCGGTAGCAGTTTTGGCGGTCGAAGGTAATGCGTTTTTCGGCGGTATCGACTTTGGCGGTGGCCGTAAAACGAAAAAAACCGTGGTATTGTTTCGGCGGTAATGCCATAGGGCGGTATTGTGTTGGCGGTTGGCGGTATTCGCGTTTTTCGGTGGTGTCGACTTTGGCGGTGGCGGTAAAACCGAAAAACGGCGGTAAGACGGCGGTATACCGGTTCTGCCCACCACGGCGGTATTTTGACGGCAACACCGCTGTATTCGGCCCAACCGAAAGTGCGGGAGAACACATGAGGAAGGTTGCTAGCGCACTGTACCAGCCCGACCCCTGCGTAGGCAGAGACCGCGGCGTCGACTTTTGTTCACGTTGCTGATTGTGTCTCGTATTTGCACCATCGGAAGATGTTTTTGAACATGTTGTAGCGTGTGTGTATGCGAGAACGTGCGTGCGGATAACGCCGACCTCGATCGGACTACGGCTGTACCCTTGCCATATCCCCGGTGCCTTGTTGACTTGCGGGAAATGGATCGTTCGAGGCTTATACAACTTGTTCTGGCTTCTCTGCGGGAGGCCCGTGGCGCCATGGAAGACGCGGCGGGCCTGAAGATGAGACTATGACAGAGGTACGACGACTTCTCCTCGGTCCTAGAGGCGCTCCCGAAGAAACCTCGCGTGATCCTCGCCGCCGACGAGATTGAGCACGAACTCCGTCGGCTAGCCGAGCTCTTCGCCAGGGCTACATACCTGATTGGTGAGTACGCCCTGATGACTGGAGACGGCGAGACCACGACGAGAGCAGCGAACTACGAGCATGTGGAGAGTAAGTTGGAGGAGATCGACCGCGAGGTGGTGCGCCAGCTCGTCAGCCTTGCCCTCAAAGGAGCTATCACTTCGTCAGAAGTTGGATTGCTACAAGTTGCGGACGAGGAGGTTAGGCTCGTTCAAGCTTGTCGAACAGGGCCGCAGTTCCCGCGGGAGCGCATGGCTTGCCCCACTATTACGTGGCGCGGTCCGTTGTCCGAAAAGCTGTTGAAGGCCTCATCAATGCGGAGGAGCCTTCAGCTCCCTTTGTGGTTGTCGGTATGAGTGGTGCCGGGAAAACGGTGCTGGTCTCGGCTGTTGTACGCCATTTGCGTGTTCGAGAGCACTTTCATGGCGGCATTTTCTGGATGAGAGTGGGGAGGGGCGCAAAGACAAGCCTTCTGCCCCTAATGCAGACCCTGGCCAGGGAGATGGGCGCCCACGGTGTGCCTTACGTCCTGGACGGTCTGGAACAGGTTGGACAGCACGTGGCTGCAGTAGCATCCACGGGCACCTCTCCGCGCCTGGTTGTACTGGATGATGTGTGGGAGCGTGAGGTTGTGGACGCCCTCCTTCGTCTGAAGTTGAAGGTGCTGGTGACCACGCGTGACCACTCGGTTGTCGGTGTACCAGGAACACGGTTGGAGCCGGAAGACATGGCAGAGGATGAGGCAATGGAGCTGTTACTCAAGACGAGCGTGCCGAAGAACAAGGCGCTGGAGAAATTGATCAAGGCGGCCATGACTGTGGGTCGGCCTGCGAACTTCCTAGCCCAGATGACCAAGGTGGTTTTGAAAATGCTTGTATATGTTTCATGCACCGCAGGACGAAGGCGGAGAAAGAACTCTTTTGTTGCCTTCCTCTTGAGTGACCCCTGCTCGTGCGTCCAGAAATTGTACCGAAAAGTGGAAATACCGACGTCCACAATAAACAGGATGACCACGGGTGCACGTAAAATGTCATCCCGCACACCTAGTCAGGTACCCTCCCCCCCCCTCCAAGGGTCGAAAAAAGATTTTCGGCGTTTCATGTGAACTCAATTCACGCAAGACGCATATGGGGGACACATTGTGTGCTACCAGGGACGACGTTTCACGCTACGTGAAACGGGCTAGGTGCTCTCTTTTGATGTTGTACGCACTCGTTTCGTGTGATCATGGCTCTAGCTCGCGCATGGGGTACCCGGACAATAGCAGGGTTCCTCTGCGGGGCTCCTATGCTTTGTGTAGAAATTTGACTACCGACTTCCCCCTCGTAGTATCCCAAATAAGAACCTGTACATTGGTGCCGAAGAAACGTTTGTTCGAGCACACTGGAATGACAAAAAAAAACGCAAAACATGTCCAAAACATTGCAAAATAACAGGACAGGTTCTAGAGGGTGGGATTGATTGTTCCCAAATCTAAAAACACCTACAGTGCCTCAAGGCACAGCTTGCCGTCGAGAGTAATTATGCGTTTGTGTCATTCGTGCTACCTGGTAATAGTGGAAGATCGTGTTCCTTCAAGCGTGGTTTCCAGCCGTACGATGTCAAAAATAGAGCGCGAAAAGGGTGCTCTCGCAAATCCCAAAGAAGGCACGTACGTAGTGTTCTCCCGTAGAGAAAAACTTGTTTCTCGAGATTCGTACTTAACGACCAAATATGCTTTGAATCAGTTCTCTTGTTGCCTTTACAACATGATTTTCTGCCATAAGAATTCGAAGTTTTTAAACGCAAAATGTTCCTCTCGCGTCCCTTTTGGTGATTATTTATGCTTTTCCTAGAGATAGGTGAAGGAAGTGTTTCGAGATTGACAAGACATAGTCCAAAACCAGATTTTTTCCACTCTGAAGTGGTTCAGCTTCAAAGTCACTTCAATATATAGTAGGTATTCAAGGTCTGTACTAAACTAGGACCTTCTTGAAACTGCTTAACGTTAATAGCATGTGGTTTGAGGTTTCCACGCGTGGCAACCGTGATAAAGACTCCCTGGTCTTGAACAGCAGCTCTTGCTGTTGCGTTGCTCTCCTTTGGTAGACGAACACATTTGGGGAACGGCGTCACCGCCAGAGAGGGGCTATTTCGACCCTTCCCCTGCCGTAATTCGTAACGCTATCCTGGGGAAATGCACCTCGCACCAAACTACAAATATCTTACCAAGAGCTGCCGTTTCATCCTTGTGCAGTACTAAACCCCCACAACACATTACGGGTATTCCGGCTATGCCACATTGAATCAAACTCTATGGCCTCAAAGCATGATCGGACAAAATGTTGTGCATAGGCCATATGCGAGGATAAGCTGAGGTATAGAGTCTGACTGATCCTCATGTTTGGGTGTACGAGTGCAACAATCAGCTCTGATTTGGCGGCTGACGACCGCATGACGCCGTCAGGCGGTATGGCGCCTCTTTCGGTGAGCACAAGGTAGAGTCGTGGTGTGCGGTGAAGAGTCCAAAACGATTTCTTCGTAGCGGCTATCTGTTCAACGCATTGTCGAATTTGTTTTGCCTTTTTGCAACCTATTTCAGGCTGCTTCGCGCTGTGGACGCCTGCCGTTGGCGCTCGCTATCATGGGTTCCGTCGTCAGAGAGAAATCATGACCGCCGCCGCCGCCGCCGCCTGGGACGAGATGGTCAAACTCTTGAATGAGAACATGGCCCGTTTCTTGCGGCTTCGCGGAGATCAGCTGCCGTCTCTCAATGTCGTCCTTGAGTCGAGTTTCGACGCCTTGGCAATACGGAAACAGGAGGAACCCATCATGATGGTGGTGATAGCCCCGCGTTCCATTGCGCCTCGAGAGATGCTAGAGAATCTCTGGGAGCTGCAGGTACGCTGAGGCGTCTATACCAGGTTTTTGCCAAGCTGCAAGACGTTGTTCGGTAAAGTTCGTACTTTTTACAGGTTTTTTCATGTAGACTACTTGCGTTTTAGACGTATTGGCATGCGTGCTGGGTGCTGATCTCGGTGCGCACTCTCCCCTATGGCAAACCTGCAGGACTTGGAGAATACCCGACAGGAAGCTGGCTGCCTAGTGGCCAAGAGTCTTTTGCAAGACGTGGGTGGTGATCGGTACCGTGTGCACGACCTCGTCTTGGAGTTCTTGAAACAATTTACCAGGCCGGACATTGGGGCTGCGAGAAAAGCTCTCGGCGCTGCAGTCACAATACCTTCGGAGGCTGGACGTGGTCCAAGGTTTCGACAACCCTGGAGCACGTTGCTGGTAACCAGGGCTTGCTGGTGTTGGATGCACTCTGGCGATCGGTCGAAAAGCTCTGTGGGGACCTTGGGCTACAAGTTTCATCGTACCGAGCGAGCTTGCAGGAGTTGGAGTCACGCGAGCCGACTGCAAACACGGCAAATTCCTACTCTTTGGTCGGTGCTCTTTTTGCCCTCGAGGTGGGACACATTTTGAAATTTTACTTAGATCAGCCCGAGGCTGTTTCGTAACATGCAGTGCACGGTTTGTGTTTCTCTTTCCGTGTTACTTTTCGCGGTTCAGGATGCGTTGATCCACTTTGAATGAAAATGGTGTAATTAATATTTGCGCGATTCTCTAACCGACGGAAATGAACAAAAAATACTCCTCGACATGTAGCTGTCGATGCTGTTGAGGAATGCTCATGGGAAACGCATTGCTTGTAGCAATATTTTCACTATCGGCACATCGCTTGATAAATGTTCCATTCCATCGTGTGCAGGGCAAGTATGCTGAGGCCGAGGCCCTCCATGAGAGATCGCGGGCCATATGAGAATTGATGCTTGGTTCGGATCATACCGACGTGGCCGAGTCGCTAAGCAACAGGGCGGAGCTGTCGAGACTGCAGGTAGGAGCTTTCAGAGATTCTCTACAACTTGATGGTGGCTCCCGTCAGCCGAACAGCCAATAGACGTGAAACGTCAGATTGTCCAGGATTTCCGTTCTACCCTGTGATGTTGCTGGGTCCGGAGCATCCGGACATTCTGCATGAACCCGATTGTGCTGCTTGTGTAGTGTTGTGCTGGGAACATCTGGGTTCGAAGCAAACGGTTGTCGATGTCGACGAATCAGATGAGAGCCGCCAAACGTTCCCATAATCTTCCTTGTGAGGTCCTGTGGATGTTGTAGTGCTCAATCTTACGTGGCGAGCAGGTGGAACCTGTGCCAACGTGCGATGTTGAGAGTTCGGTGTTGTTCAGCCGGACGGCACGTTACGTGTTGACTCCTCTGCAACCTGCTCTAGCTAGAGCCGACCAGGCTATGATCCCGTTTCCTGTTCGTGTTCCAGGGGAGGTACAAAGAGGCAGGCGTCCTGAACACACGAGCCATGGATATACAGGAGAAGGCGTTGGGCCCAGACCATCCAAGTCTTGCAATTTCCCTTGCAATCCCATCGTGGTTGTTCAACAGTCAGGTAAGAGTCAGGAGATTTTTTCTGAACGACGCTTCTTGGGGTAGTCGGTGGGCGCGTGAAGGCAAGCCTAGCGTGGGTTGTTGTTGGAGAGCCAGGTTACCGCTGCCATCAGCTTCCCAGGAGAGTCATTGTGTCCACCTGTAGGAATGTTGTAGTGCTGAAAATCACCTTTGAAGTGTATTGTTATGGGGGGCAGGTGAGAGTAACAAAAAAAAGCAACAAACACCTCGTCGCGTTTCTTGCGTGTGATAATGTTTCATAATCGACGAGTTGGTGCGTTCAAGTGGGAATATTTTTGTCAGTGAAGTCCCATCGGCGTCACATACGTGGGGGAATTGCTCGCATTGGAAATGAGCTAAACGAGGGCTTGGCAGGAGCTCGTGGAACTTGGTGAAGTTCTCAGCGATTTCACCCTTTCCGAAGTCTGCCCAGTCTTCTTCTCAACTCACCGTAACGTTTCTCGGTGTATTGTTGTGCCTTCGAGACTTTGGCGTTCAACAAACGGGTGGTGAGTGTAAGAGTTGGCAACTCCGCGACCACGTCTTGCTAGCCTTCATCACGCTACTATTACGTTGCGTCGTTCAGGGTAAGTACGAAGAGGCAGACGTCCTGAACAGGCGAGCCATCAAGATCCAGGAGAAGATTGTAGGTGCAGACCATCCAAGTCTTGCTACGTCGCTCAACACTCGAATGTGGTTGTTGAACACTCAGGTGAGCGCCAACACATGCACTGCTCGGGGTGCTCGGTTGGTGTTTGACGACATGGTTTGACGACATGTCCACCGTACGTTGTTGTTGGAGAGCTAAGTCGGATCTGCCAGCAATTCCCCAGGATTGTCGTTGTTTCGACCTATTCTTGTGTTGTAGTCGTGTTGAGTAGAGGTGTAGGTGAGGGTCATGAACAAACGCAAATCTTTCTCGTTGCGTGTTTTGGTTATGGGGGTATCCCAAGACCGGCGAGCTGCTCGATTTATTGTGAACGTCTCATCGACACGAAACACGTCGGTGAGTCGCTTCGCATTGTGAGTGCCTTCAAATGCGCTCGTTGATCGTTGCAAGGGGCGAGGTTGACAACAACCGAGAGGAACTCTTGGCGTTGACAAAAAGATTGTTGCCCCTAGATCACCCGCATACGGATTGATCTTGCTACACCTGAGCCTGCACACTTGAGAGTCAGGGGAGAGGTAGGCGCTGACGTTGATCGTCGTCCGCATTTGTGGAGCTCGGAGAAATTCTCAAAGATTTCGTCACTGCTGAAGTCTACCTGGAACCCTTCTCAATGTTCGAGAACCGTGTTGGGGTGCGGTTCGCACGTTTCTGTTGTTTCCTAGTGAGAATCGGTCCACATGTTTACTTCCATGGTCATCCGTATGCGCGCAGGTAGGGATGCTCGATTTTTTTTGTGTGTTACAGTTTAACGTGTAGTAACCAGGCGGTGAGTGTCAATGTCTGCAGCTCCGCAACCAGGTCTTGCTAGCCTTCATCACGCCACTATTGCATTTCGTGTTCGTGTTCCAGGGTAAATACGAAGAGGCAGACGCCCTGAACACACGAGCCATGAAGATCCAGGAGAAGGCGTTGAGTCCAGACCATCCGAGTCTTGCTATGTCGCTTGGACTTCGGGCGTGGTTGTTGAGCTGCCAGGTGAGGGCATCAGAACTCAGAAGGACGCTGCTTGGGGTGCTCGGTGGGTGTCGGAAGGCTCGTCGACGGTACGTCTTTATTGGCGAGCCAGGTGACAGCTGCCAGCAATTCCTCAGAAGAGTCGCTGTGCCAATCTGTGGGGATATTGTAGTGCTGGATGACCGCGTTGACGTGTATTGAAAAACCGGGCCGGTGAAGTCACGAGTAGACTCGAAAAATCTCTCGTGGCAATTGCTTGCGTGTGAGTGTTTCACAACCGGCGAGTCGGTGAATTCGGGCTACAATCGAATGTGTGCGTGAATGGTGTTGCCGACAGTAGATATGTTGGTGAGACTCACGATGTGCTTGGGCTGGGCGCGGCCTTACACATGCACCCGTTGAATGTTGTACGGGGGAAGCTTGACGACGACGCAGAGGTCGATGTACGGTGTAAGTCTTGGAGTTTTCAATGAAAGTCCCGCTCCCAGACCACCCGCAGACTCGCTTATGAACCGCTTCGGCGTGTGTATATGAGGGTCTGGTGAGCGGGGGAAGCTGCTTGTGATCGTCCTCGACGTTTGTGGAGCTCGGGGAAAGTTGGTTCAGGCCCTTCTCAAGAGTCCAGGATCCTGTCCGGTGCTCTTGGCGCGTTTCCACGATTTCGTACGAGGAACCGTCAAGTCTACGTCCTTGCTCATTCGTGAACGCAGTATAGAGTTACCCGGTTTCAAGTCCGTGTTTGAGACTTTGGCGTTCAACAACTGGACGGAGAGTGACGTGCTTGCTCACCTTCGACCGGCTCGGACTACCCTCGACCACGCTATCATCCCACTTCCTGTTCCATGTTCCAGGGTAAGCACGAAGAGGCCTACGTACTGAATACACGAGTCGTTGAGATCCGGGAGAAGGCATTGGGTCCGGACCATCCAAATCTTGCTACGTCGTTCATAACCCGATCATCGTTGTTGAAGAGTATGGTGAGACTTATCAATTTGTGCAAGACAATTCATGGAGTGCTCGGTGGTATTTGATGATCGTCGACTTGCGTTGTTGTTGGAGAGTCAGGTTAGATCTGCCCACAAGTTGCGAGGATCGCTGTGGGTGGACCTGTGCTTTAGTGTTCAGCAACCACATTGGCTTGCTTGTTGTCGTGTTGACTAGAGGTGAAGGTGAAAGTCATGAACAACCGCGAATTATTCTCGTTGTGCGTTTTCCTAATGAGCGTGTTTGCGAACGGCGGGTGGCTCGGTTTTGAGTGATCTTTCTCGTCGTGCGTTTTGCTTGTGAGGGTATTGACGACCGGCGAACGCTCGATTTGGGTGGGAATCAAATACTGTGGTGAACGTCTCGTCGGTGTCACATTTGTTGGTAAATCGCTTCGCATTGTGAGTGCCTTCGTATGCGCTCGTTGACTGTGGCTTTGGGCAAGCTTGACGACACCCTCGAGGAACTCTTGGCATTGACGAAAAGGTTGTTGCGCCCCACAGACGCCATCGTCGTTCAATACTTGAGCCTGCACATTGGAGAGTCAGGGGAGGGGCAGGCGCTGACGTTGATCGTCCTCCGCGTTGTGGAGTTCGGAGAAATTCTCGACGATATGCGTCATGACTGAAGTCAGTCGAGAACCCTCCTCAATTGTCGAGAACCATGTGGTGCTTTTGAACGTTTCGGTTTTGTCGTAGTGAGAATCGATCCACAAGCCGGCGTCCATGTACGTCCGTAAACGTACAGTGGTGTGCGACTCCGCGACCAGGACTTGCTAGCCTTCATCGCGCGACTTTTGCGTTTCGTGCTCCGGGGTAAGCCCGAAGAGGCAGACGTCCTGAACAAACGAGCTATCGAGATCCAGGAGAAGACGTTGGGTCCAGACCATCCAAGTCTTGCTACGTCGCTTGGACTTCGATCGCGGCTGTTGCACAGTCAGGTGAGAGTCAGATCTACGAAGGGCGCTGCTTGGGGTGCTCGGCAGGCGTTGGAAGGCTCGTCGACGGTACGTCTTTGTTGGCGAGCCAGGTTGGATCTGCGAGCAATTTCCTCGGAATGTCGTTGTGTCAACCTGTGGGGATGTTGAAGTACTGGATGACCGTGCAGAAGTGCATCCTTGTCGTGTTGAAAAACCGGGCGGGTGAAAGTCATGAGCAAAATCCAAATGTCTCTCGCGACAAATGTTTGCGTATGAGAGTGTGTCACAAACGGCGAGTTGGCGAATTCGAGGAGGAATCGAATATGTACGGGAAAGTATTGGGAGCAATGCGCAACCTGATAAGCTGCTTACGTTGTGAGTGAACTGGACGCGAGCTTTACGTGCACTCGCCGACTGTTGCACGGGACAAGCTGGACGACCCCAAAGAGGGGGTCCGAGAAAGTTTTGGTGTTGACAACTATTGTTGTTCCCTCAGACTATCAGCAACAGCTTGCGTCGCTGGACACATTTTTGTGCGTATTGTAGAGACGGGGCAACGGTGGACATCGGTTTTGAACGTTGTGGTAGTTTGTGCGCTCCGAGAACGTCTACTTGCGTGACCTCTGCGTTAGTTTCCAGAGCCCCTTTCACCTTTTGAGACTTGTGGCGCATTTTGATCGTTTCGACGTTCCAACGTATATCCATGAAAACATCGTTGCGCGTAGTGTTACTTTCCATTGTTGGAAAATTGTAGTTCAAGAACCTGGCGTGGTTGATAAGAAGATATTGTTTCACATCCCAACTATCTGTCAGCGGTGCCAGACGATAGTCGAGAAAACGTTTTGCCCTTGGCACTCGCATGTGGAAACAGAGCTCAACAGCCGGACGGACAATATATTTGGAATCATAAATACAAACACGGAAAGGCTACCCGTTCGAGATATAACCACGGTCGAAGGGGGTGTGTTGGAGTCATTGCAGTGAGTGGAGGGAAAACGTCTGGGAACTGGGCAAATTTCGAGTCTTTTTTAGCCTATTTGCTGAAAAAAAGTTTATCAGTGATGCCAGCACGTGTAAATCACAAAAACACTGCAAAGGAAAACTTTTTCAAGACATCTCCCCCGTAGTTTCCTCTATCTACTGGGTCAACGAAAAAGTTATCAGGGAGAAACCCTCCGTTATGTTGTGTGTTGTAATATTCTGCCTTTACAGGAACACGTCGCTCTGTCTCTTGACAACTTGGACGGAATAGTATATTTTTGTGATGATGTGATGAAACAGTGCTCAGTAACCAAAGGTTGTTGAAGAGCCTTTCGAGAGTCGGAGGTACGTTCACTGAAATATCGTAAGGCCCACATCGAATGATGAAACACTCATGATACTGGGGGAAATCTGCTTTGCACCAACCATCTTGCGTATTTAACCCAGGGCAAGCAAGCTGGGGCCGTGGTTGTCTCGAGGTCACAAGCCACACAAGGGCCAACCACGGATGCGAAAAGTCCTTAGATGGCTTTCGGGGAAAATGCTTCTGGTGAGAGCTGACTACTATCCGCGGCAACTCGTATATAGGGTCCGTGTCCACCCCTCGGTGGGACATGTCCGTCCGTGAAGGACACGCTTTCCCAATAATCCACCATGTTTGCTTCTTGTATCAGCGATGGCAACTGCACGCCCATGACGATCTGGAGCATCGCGAAACGACCCGTTCGTATCATTCAGCGAGAAATGCTGAGGGAAGCTAATATTGAGGTGTTAGACGGCACGTTCACATGATGGTGGCCCGAATCAATCGGCCTTGGCAGCATTATTGCCGGACTTGTTGTGAGTCATGCGTGTTTGTGAAGACGCGGTGAACCAGTAGGGCGCGGTTGTAAATAAATGGTGTATACGAGACTGAAGCCGCAGACGCCTAGACGTCCTTTCGTCTTTGATAAGTACATTTTTTCTCTTACAGGCTTACAATTTTCGTTGGGCCCCTATGCGTGTAAATGCGCGATGTGCACATGCGAAGGTGACCCATGGTCCATGCCCTTCAAGAAGTCTAACTGTACCCACCACCGCGGTACCTTGCTCTCGGGGAAGCGGAGTGTTCCGGAGACAAAAACATACCGGTAAACGCCCTCTCCAAGGGTTTCTCCTTACAGAGAGATGTTTGGTATTGTTCGCCGTCTTCATTCGGAGAAAACTGGATATCTGTTATTCTGCTGGTGTTATTCGTCGATTCCGAGTATTTCAACAGATTTGAACCGATCTCGAAGTAGCCAGACATGATCTTTTTATCGACGAAATGTTTGAAGTTGAATAGCAATTGTCGAAGAACCGGATCTGAATGGTCGTATTGTTCCTTGTCAAAGAAGAGTGCGGCAGTCCTCTCCTCTCGTCAATCGCCAGACATGCCTTGTTTTCTCTCTATCTTTCGAGACGAAGTTCGACATTTCTTAAAGTATTCGACGTTTTGTTTGCCGCCACATGTGAGCGAATGCGAGTCGTGCCGCTATACCTCGTACCAACTGCCTGTTCCAAGCCAGAGATCCGTCGATGAAAATACTTCTTGTTTTGGAGTTGGATGAGCACATATTCTGCGAAAGGTGGGGTTTAGCGCAGGCATGCCAAGGCACACGAGCGAACGATATATGTAGCCAGCGCCTCGGCATTGTCCTGAGAGGAGAGCTTTAAATGATGAGCAGAGGTTTTCGGCGCCGGTCCCTCCGATAAGTAGTTCTATTGAATATGCGAGACCTTGTGGCACCATTAATCAATAGGTGCTAGAAAGAGTAGCAGCGCATGTACTCCGTGGATGATGTTGGAGTAGATGTGATATCAGGTCGGCTGGATGCTGGGCGCTGCCTCGTTTGCACGCGTGGGGGGCGGGGGAGGGGTCGTGATCTGCCGCTGTTTATAACAACGCCCGCTCAGGAGTCACCGATGCACACCTCGCTATGTTCGTTCACAACCGCTGCCATGCCTCTTACACGTACGAACGGGCCACAAACCGCCATCAAGAGCAACAAGTCAGGAAGCAAACGGCGCTCGTGTCTAGACCGCTAGGTCCGTGCAAGGGCCCAAAGCAACAATACCTGTCATTACCATACACGCATCCATTCATCCACGCACTCCCACACACACACACACCCCCGCACACACACACGAACGAATGCCCTCCTCGACCACTGCGAAAACACCTCGTAGACCATACAGTGGGAGAAGCGAATCGTGGCCGTGACCGACCCGATTCCGCCTACAGCTGTGACAAACCCCGTGGCCCGAGCCCGTGCATGCACCATGTCATTTGCACTGGAAACACCGTGTCCGTTTGTCGGCGCTCTGTTTTAGAGTATGTGTGACGACGTGATATATTCTCAAGTGTACTGGAGCCGCTTGGCATAGTACTGCATCAAGTACGTAAATACGTCCATCGGCGCCGCGCTGCAAGAAGCGATGAAAAGTAGACCGAGCACAAGCAGGAAGGTCGTCGCCCACAGGTTAAATCCGTTGGAACTTCCAGTTGCGGTCATGAGCGTTCGGTTGTGTCTCGCCACACGAAACAAGTGTCGACATACAGTTCATCACGGATTGTAGCCAGCCGCAGCCAAGGCATGGCTCCCCCTGCTGTCCCCGATTTTTTGTGTCTCGTAGACTATACATATCACGATTCCATAAACCCTATTAATAGTTCGTTACGCCGATTTCGTTACCCCCTGGAACACGGACATTCGAATATGCCCCCCAACTCTCTGAAAAGGACACACGGGGAATACAGTGGAAATCGTGTGGATCAAATCCCACTGTCGTTCTCCTCCGCGTGTTTACTCTTCTTCGTCTGTTTGACACACTACTCGAAGACCTCGGGGCTGAGGGGCACCAAATTCTCCGTGTTGACCGAAAAAAAAAGGTGAGAGCTCTGTGCACCCTTGTGCATTGGTATTTCTGCTCTCCCTTCGTGCCCGCCTTAGATGTATCCGCACGATGACCTCGCACCGGCCCGTATTCAATTGAGTGCGCTCGTGTCGTTTGTCTCTTGATGCAGACGGCCGACAAATCGCGACACAATCTCTGTGAAGTTATTTGTGCGCATTCGGGACGCGTACGCAAAAAAGATCCGACAAAACAAGAGGCCAACCCTAGGAAGAGAACGTCGCAGAAGGTGAGCTGCGTTGAACAATCATAATGGCAGCCTGACCTCCAGTTGCTCCACATGCTCGACGTATAACCTGGTGATCGCGCACCTTGTGCGAAGTACTGGTATCGCATCGTGTTCTGGGTTGCACATTTGCCTTGGGGTTTCACTCTTTACCTTCCGCGATCTCCGCTTTTTACTCTGGCATGGAATAGGTGAGGTGCCCTTTCAAGATCACCATCACTTGGCCTTTGCGGGGGAGTAACCCATCCATATCCTCTGTGAGTTCGGGCCTCCTTTCCATGTACGGCATCTTGACCAACATCCACGCACATAATCCCCATTTACCCGTGTTGCTGTTTTGAACTACTCGACAGGATGTACACGCAGTCTACATGCTTGGGACATCTGATCGCACTGATTCTGACATGCTTAAGACATCTGAGAGTATTGAGTCTGGAACTGAGTTGCTCCGTTCTTTCGTCGAACCCTCAAGTCTCGCTGCCAACACAACCACGACCCACGGGGAGCGGTGTCCAGTGCAGCCAAGCACATCCTGTCGCCAAACACTGTCGACGAGAGGATTGACGATATCCGGAGATAGACTGTGGGGGGCGTATCAGCACAGCAAAATATCAAGCTGCTGGAACTAGACCAGGGCGGTCTCCTCTTGTGCAAAAAGGGAAGACGAAAAATGTGTGGCTACAGTTGGGAGTCCAACGACGTTCAGTATAGATGAGAATTCGCAGGTAATAGCAGTGAAATAGTGGAGTTGTTGCATTCTCGGCGTTTCTCATTATATAACACCGTTGCCTACTGAGGCAGACAAGTCTTCTTGCAGTGCTTCCCCGTCATTGTGTTAAGTGGCGGGAAGAATTTACCCTCTTAATCTCTTGCATTTCTTTTCGTAACGCCGTTTTCGTACAAAACGTGTACAACGAAATGCAGAAGGTAAACGACGCGTTGAACGCGAAACCCGAGGACGCAGCCGACATCCTCGCGACTCTGAAAAGCGAACCTGGCATGTACTGCGATCACACGCTGGATGCCCAGGGACGATTGGCGGATGTGTTTTGGTCTACTGTCCAACAGTAAGAACAGATTGCAAGATTTGGGGGCGGCATACAGCTCGATACAACGGTGTTCACGAACAGGTGCACACAATACCTTCGACAGGTTACAAGTCTCCACAGCATATGTGGGACCGCTCGTTACGCTACGCTGCTCATGGTTGCCCGTTAAAACCCCCGCTCGTCGTTTGTGGTCGAGGGAGTTGGTGCTGCTAGAAAGAGTATCAATGCGTCATGTATCTCGGGCTGACTGTCTGTAGGTACGGGTGCCCTCTTCTGGTCGTCGTGGGCGTCGACGACTAGAATCGCAGCTGCATTTTGGGGCAGGGTCTGCTGCGGTCTGAGTGTACGCAGACGTTTGAATGGATCCTGAACAGATACGAGGACGCTGCCGGTGGGCGGAAGCCGAAGGTGACCCTGCCACGATGTACACAACACTCATTCATGGCGTAGGACGAGGCCAGGATGATGTACAGTGTGAAGTCGCTTCGACAAAGGAACAAATAGACATCCAGGTTTGTTGAGGCATGTACTGCAGACGCAGAAGCGCTTGTCTAGTGGCTGTCGACATAACCGCGCCGTCCATGGCCTATCGCATCCGTTGACAACGTACGTCTACCCTTTGCCACAGGTGATCTTGACCGACGCTGATCTTGCAATGACGGCTGCAATAGCCTCTTGCTGGCCAGGGACGCTGCATTTGCACTGCTTGTGGCACGTCTTCAAGAACGTCTTCAAGAACTGCTCGTCATCATTTGCTACCAATGACGACAAGACCGACATGATGCGTTGCTTCAGAAACGAAGCTTTTGCAGCTACCCCGGAGGTACGGTGGCGTTCACTCGTACGTTGCCACCACACGACGGCCCCGAGAGAATGGATTGGTCTGCCCCACCCGTTCGCCCCGCCACAACGAGCGGTGAACATAACCCCTGACGTGTCTTGTGTTTACCACTGTCTTCGGTGGCAGGTGTTTGGGACCCAAGTGGCCCGGTTGGAGCAACTTGTGGCCGGCAAGAAGTGCGAAGGATACATAGCGGACTTGATCAAGTGAGTAACTTCCCTCCGTACATTTCGAGGAAGCGCCGAAATGCGGTCATGATGCCTTGGCTTGAGCCATGAACGCCGCGTTTTCACGCTCGATACTCACTATTAAAACTCTGGTACCGTCGTGAACCGTCGTAGGAACAAGACCAAGTGGGCGTTCTGCTGCCGATCCACTGTCCTCACGCTTGGCATGGTTGCTACTCAGCGTTCACCGAAGGTTTGTTCGAGGTGGCAAAACGCTCGGGCGTCGAGAAGAAGCTCTCATTGTGCGAGCTTTGGGATCGCCTGCAACGTCCCATAGAGACTGCGAGGTGAGTTTGTTGTTTTCGTCACCCATGGCAGCAGGTGGTATCCGCGTGCCTCGATTTATGGGACATTCCGATGTGTTACACGACGCGCGCATTTCTTTCTACCTGCAGCTACAGACACTGGTGGCGGATCGACATTGTCTATGGATTTCTCCCTCCGCTACGCATTATGTAACACTGCTTTTCATGCCATGCATGCAGGTAAGCGACACCCTCCCTAGGCGCTGGCGTGGCCTTCCTGGATATCCACGTGGAGAATTTTTTCAGACCCGTGAAGCAGGAGCTCTTAGCCTGGTGGTGCTAGCCGGTACTGCCAGCAAGTGAGTCGTGTTTCGGTATATGGATCCTTGCCGCTGTTGAATTCGTGCGATGGTGTGTCCGTGATTTATCAAGCTGACACCATCCAGTCGAACTGAAACCCCATCGAACACATCTTCGCACTGTCGAACCTCATTCCTTCGCAGGAGGTCAGAGCGCAGGTAGACGAAGCGCAGGCGTATGACGCCGAGTTGGTGAGTTCAGGTCGTGTGGAGGAGAACGGGGACCCACTGCCTCTCCACGAGCACGACCTCGCCAAGATTCGCTCATTGCGCCTCAAGCTCAACATTCTTCAGGTCGCACCACCTAATACCGATCTCGAGGGAGACCAGATAGCCGGCGAAGCTGCGGTGGACAACACTATGTGGGCGCGTACGTCGCTGTCAGCCTTCTTGGATTTGATCGAGGATATACCTATCGAACTGTTCGTGGCCGTTCGATACAAGAGGGCGGCGAACAGACCTAGCCACCTCGTGGTGTTCGGACTTCACAACTTCCACTTATGTTCCTGTTTACAGCTATTGCGGCGCGGACTGCCTTGTAGGCACTACTTTGCGGTGCTTGTCAACCTCATCGGGAGAACTGGCGAAAGTGACGAGATGGCCTTCACCCATACCTTCAACGGCGCATGTGTCCACAACCGTTGGCGCCGAAGAGAAGTTGTCAACGATTCGCCGTGGAGCATCTCATCGGTGCTGTCGTCGTCAGGCCACAGCGTAGGGTGGGACGGCAATGACGAAGGCAGAGACGAGAAATACTGGGGACCGACATGCGATGAAGCGGTGGATGGCATACATCCTGCTGGACCGGGGCGGGCCGCGCAGGATAGAAGCGCTTCCGACAAGCGTCGAGTCTACGCCCATCTGATGGCGACGAGCAAGGAGCTTGTAGGAGATATAATGAGGTCCGTGCCCCTGCATCAAGCGCTGTCCGTCCAGGACAAGGTTGGGGAGTATCTCCGGTATCTTCTCAACTCGTCCGCGGGAAGCACAGGCGTCCAAAATCCTGGAGAGGCGCCCAAGAAGGGTTGGCCGAAGAAGGACGGTCGAAGGCAGCCTCTTCAGCATCGATCGGGGGCCAAAGAGGAACCCGGCAAGCCGGAGGGGCAGCAAGGAAAGTCCCGTCAGACCTAGGGGATAAGGGATTTCAACAACAGGCGCCGGTCGACGAAGAGGAGTAAACACGCGGAGGAGAACGACAGTGGAATTTGATCCACACGATTTCCACTGTATTCCCCGTGTGTCCTTTTCAGAGAGTTGGGGGGCATATTCGAATGTCCGTGTTCCAGGGGGTAACGAAATCGGCGTAACGAACTATTAATAGGGTTTATGGAATCGTGATATGTATAGTCTACGAGACACAAAAAATCGGGGACAGCAGGGGGAGCCATGCCTTGGCTGCGGCTGGCTACAATCCGTGATGAACTGTATATCGACACTTGTTTCGTGTGGTGCGACACAACCGAACGCTCATGACCGCAACTGGAAGTTCCAACGGATTTAACCTGTGGGCGACGACCTTCCTGCTTGTGCTCGGTCTACTTTTCATCGCTTCTTGCAGCGCGGCGCCGATGGACGTATTTACGTACTTGATGCAGTACTATGCCAAGCGGCTCCAGTACACTTGAGAATATATCACGTCGTCACACATACTCTAAAACAGAGCGCCGACAAACGGACACGGTGTTTCCAGTGCAAATGACATGGTGCATGCACGGAACTGCAACAATTATTCTACGGAATGAGACTACGCACATGTATTACCTCAGGTTGGTTCATACAACAGTGGATATTCTACTGTACACGACAAGTCAGGAAGGCAAGATTTCCCTGTGCCGAGGGATTTGTTGACTTGTTCACCACGCGTCTGCTGCTGTTGCAGTGTGTGTGCTGTGTACTGCTGTGTACTGTGTGGTGTGTTGTGTACGCGGTGAGTGTATGAACAGCACGCTCTAACCATGGCGCTTGTGCTTCGATTAGAGTCTTGTACGGCGAGATACTGCTGGTGGGGTGTTTGACCTTATCCACCCCACCCGGTCGCCCCTGTTGAGTAGCTTTGTGCGTCGTCGGTGCCTTGGCGCGCGGGGTCCCTTGGTTGGGAAATAAAAGAGCCAGCGGCGCGGTAGCCGTCAACGGTACAGTGTAGGAACTATGATTGGCGTGACAGCCTTCTACTTTGGGATGGAGCGTGATAGCTCGGGTATGGTATCTCTGGATGTGGCGTGGAAGCCTGGTGACGTGATAGTCGTGGTGTATATGTATAAGTAAGGACGTAGATGTCCGGAAGGCGTGATAGCCGGCTGGCGTGATAGCCAGGACTGGCGTGGAAGTCGTGGCGTGATAGCCGTGGTAGCGTGATAGCCGGGGAAAAAGGCTTTGATTGCACACAGGAAGGAGGAAAAAGAGGAAACAAAAACAAGTGAGAAACCCGCACGATCACCATATCCGTTGTAGACACACATACCCCCATCCTCAATCCTGTAATATGCGGCGAAGTTGGTACCATCAAATCGAATCCAAAGCAACTGNGGAAGTCGTGGCGTGATAGCCGTGGTAGCGTGATAGCCGGGGAAAAAGGCTTTGATTGCACACAGGAAGGAGGAAAAAGAGGAAACAAAAACAAGTGAGAAACCCGCACGATCACCATATCCGTTGTAGACACACATACCCCCATCCTCAATCCTGTAATATGCGGCGAAGTTGGTACCATCAAATCGAATCCAAAGCAACTGCTGAACCCCCAAACTCCCCGCTCCATCTGCTCGGATTTTTTTTGCTTGCAATAATCTGTCGATGCTGTGAGTACGTACAACAGCCCCGGTGGTCTAGTGGTATCCTCGTTGTCCGCTAGTCACAGATGTCGTGAGTTCGATCCCCCATGGGGTGAAATTTTCGAAATGTGCGGGTGAAAGCGAAATATAGCTGACAAGCTGTCGTGGGTACCAAACTTCGACGTTAGCACCGTTGAGGGAAAGGGACGGCTGGAGGACCCTTCTCGCGATAAAAATAGAGTGCAGCTCGCACCGCAGGAGGAAGGTGGGGCATGCAACGAAATAAAATGAAGAAAAAAGCCCTGCTGTTTACCCCCTCCTGACCCCGGATGGTTAAAGTTTGTACGAATAAAACACTGAAAAGTGTACTACTCTACATACGCTGAAAAGTGTAGTGCACGTCGCACCACGAAAAATGGGGGGACTGTCGCCATAATAATAAAACATTATAAATAGGACGAAAACACACACACCTCACCGGTGGGGCATGGACTCTGCGTGGTTTACCCCACCGGCCGTGGCACCACCAAACCTTTATCGTTAGGCATCACCATGGATCCCACGATAGCCATGCAACGCAGCAATACAGTCGCACATGTCTTGTGCCAATTGGAGTCTTCTAGGGCTACATATGGCAGTGGGGAAGTCTGCCTGCAAGAGAATAGAATGCAGTGTTCGCTACCCACTTCGGGTGTTTCGCGTCATGCGGCTGGATTTCTTGACCTGTTCGCCGCCCCACGTGCTGCCCACTGCTGTGCGCTGTGCGTGCATCGACCTGACACTCCTACAAGTGGTTGTGTGTCGATTGGAACCTTGTCGAGGGAGACCCAGCTGGTGGGGTCAATAACGTTATCGACCCCACCAGTGGGGTAGAGGCGGTATGTTCCGCACCGACCGTGGCACCACGAAAACTGTGCCGTTTCGG